TGTGTGTGTGTGTGTCGTTGTCTTCGTTTCTTGATCCTGGCTGTCTCTGAAACAGAAAAGGTTAGCGGAGGGGGGGGGGTCATTGGGGTGGTCACCCAGGGTCAAAAAGTTGGTGTCTAGGTCTTTTGTGTTTGTCGGTCACGTCGGGTACGTAGTCAACGGCTTGCCTGAGGAGGGGATTGTCATGTCTAGTGGCTACGTCAAATCGTTTTTCCGCGTTTTGTCTTATTGTCTGTGTAGCGTTTGTGTATTGTAAGTCTCGTAATATGTCAGTGTTTCTTACGTACCAGGGCGCGTCAGTGGCCGTGCGGAGGGTTAAGAGGAAAGAAAAGGATACTTTCCAGGTAGCCTTAATAAAGGCAGGTAGATCTTGCTCGTTGCAATGCACTTCACTTTACAATAAACACGTCCGCTCAGTTCGACCGCTCGCACGAGAATGACCAAAGATATTGATGTGCTGTTCCATAGACTATAGAAAGATTGTAGGTTCTTAAAAATTTAAAAAATATATAACTGTCCTTTCTAAAACTAACCTAAGATATGATCCTTAACATATCTTAAAATTCCTTAATTTTAAAATGTATAGTGTTTTTCATCATTTTAGTTCTATTAATAATATTCTATTTCCTAAGAAATATTTATAGCACCTAATATCTGTGTCGTCGGTATAGTTATCTCATCTGAGGAAATTACCTGAAAAACTGGAAAAGATGAATTTTGACATATTTTTAATTTTTCTAGCAGTAAGAATATCCTCCATATTTTTAGTACAAACTTTTTTTGTACCTGATGAATACTGGCAGTCTCTAGAAGTGTCCCACTATTTAACATTTAATTATGGATATTTAACTTGGGAGTGGACTAAGGGAATAAGAAGTTACATTCCGCCTTTTATATTTGCTGGATTTTACAAAATTCTGCAAATTATCGGGATGGATACTGCCACAAATTTGGTGAATAGATATTTATTTGTTAATAAAAATTGATGTATTTATAAAATCCTTCAGATATATGGACCACGAATTTTACAAGCCCTGTTGAGTGCTTATTCTGATGTGCAATTCTACAAATGGTCGGGGACTAAAAAATGGGCAGTCTTCTCTATGGCCAGTTCCTGGTTTTGGTTTTATACGGGATCACGGACTTTGATAAATACTTTCGAATGTGCGTTGACCACAGTTGCCCTTTCTAAGTTTCCTTGGCCTGGAAAAGGTATAGGTAAGTAAAAATGTAATACATATTTCAAAACTACTTGATAGTAAACAGCTGTTAAAAAAATGCATTCTGGCTTACCATTCCATTCTGAAAATACCATTTTTTAATAAGTAATTGTATTTACCTATCCAATTAAATTTTTTAGAGGATTCATCTCCTTTTATCTGGATTATATCCTTACTTTTTGCAATAAGACCAACATGTGCAGTAATGTGGATTCCACTTTGTGTTTATCATTTGACACTTACTAAAAAAACGTTTTTAAATTTGGTAGTGGGACATTATTTACCAATTGGGTGAGTTATTTAAAGGAAGGTAATTTCTGGAAGCATATGTATATTGTTCTTGATATATTTCTTTTCTAAACAAAAATGTTCTATTTATAAATGTTAACAAATTTGTTCGTCTTGAGCATTGGCCAAACCGAAGTGCAGACTGGCGTCAAGCGAGCGATTTTTAAGGAGAAAATACTATTTTTCTACAAAACTGTTAAAAGTGGGCTTTTTAATTGTCATTTTTGATGTTAAAAATGTCATTTTTTGACACGCGTGTTAAAAGTAACTTACTTTTAACACACGTGTCAAAAAATTACAGTTTTAACATAAAAAATGACAATTAAAAAGCCCACTTTTAACAGTTTTGTAGAAAAAATAGTGTATGATATACGTGTTAAAAGTGATTTTAACACGTATATCATAAATAGCTATTATTTTATATTATTTGTAATAAGTAAATAAAAACGTTATATTTAGCTAAAAGTATACGAATAAATAAATTGGGTAATTTTGAAGAAACAAACTTGTTTAAATTTAAAGCGAGCAAATTTTTAATTGTCGAATTATGTCAAATACGCCATAATGTGATAAAATTAGTTCAGCGACCTATTAATTAATTAGTTATTTTATTTTTTTATGACAAGTAACATAAGTAGTTTTTCCCTTTCAAAATCGTTTGCATGAATCTTGCCCGCTCGTCTGTTTGGCCAAAGCCTTATACATACAAACTTATGATTGGTTACATCTTCGTGTATTTGAATATTTTCCAGGCATTTTTAAAAACCATACCTTTTCAGGTTAACAGTATTAGTTCTATCAATACTGTTAGATAGTATTGCTCATGGGTCCTTCATAGTATCTGCGTATGAGTTTCTAAAATTCAACTTGTTCGAAGATATTTCTTCTTTTTACGGAGTTCAACCCTGGCATTGGTATTTGTCTGTAGGTTTCCCAGCAATTTTGGGTATTCACTTGATTCCGTTCGTTATGGCTACTATTGTTATACTGAAAAATAGAGAAGTGCACCCGAATGAATTGATAATGCTGGGAACCATCACCTTCACCATTGCAGTGTACAGGTGAATTAAGTAACAAATATCTTTGATTTATTGTTTTGGTTAAATTCTAAATCCGTAAAATTGTAATTACGGATTTTTTGTTTCAGTTTCCTAGATCACAAAGAATTTAGGTTCTTATTGCCTCTATTGCCTTTGGTTCTATATATATCATCAAGGTTCCTGTCAGCGTGGAGTAGAAAAGCTAATAAGCAAGTACAATATTTTTTTGGGGTACTTTCTTTTACTTAATTTTTTATTTAATTATAGTTTTCATCTCTGGCTTGTGACTGTGATTATATTTGTTGGTAACGTTATACCAGCTTGGTACTTGGGAATGGTACACCAGAGAGGAACACTAGATGTTATGCAACCTCTAAGAGAAATATCCGAGAAAAGTCCTAACGAAACTAGTTTGTTGTTTCTAATGCCTTGCCACTCAACACCATTGTATAGGTAACAGTTTTAATAAAAGTATTAGTTTTCTTTATACAGGGTGTATAACTTTAAGTGGGGGTAAGTTTTTTAGTGAAATAGAGTCAAATTATAATTTTAAACTGTGCTTAACCTTGAACAAAAACACTAAGGTAAATAGATTTATAATGATTTCAAACTTATAATAAAAGGTATTTGTTACTATTTTTTTAAACACTGTGTTTAGTTTGTGAATCTCAGGGTCAGTGACCTCTGACATTGACCTAGCTTAGGGAAATCACATAATAACAATCCACCTGATGTGATATGACAACATAAAGCTAAGCAGGCAAAAAACAAATAGCCAGCGTGAATTCATCGAGATAGGAGTGGCTAAATATGTTCCCACTTGATTTTGAAAATTATAAAATTATTAATTATTAATTAATTAATTAATTATTACTAAAAAATTAAGTTTTCACTACAGAATTTGAGAAAACAAATTTATATGCCTTTTTAAATGTTGAAGATATGACCCCCATTCGAAGTTACATCCTGCGTAATATTTGTATTTAGCATTTCTATGTTTATAACATCCGTTTTTCAGTCATCTACATGTAAATGTGACCACTAGATTTTTAACTTGCTTGCCGAATTTAAGCAAAATCGAAAATTATATTGACGAAGCCGATATGTTTTATAAGAGCCCCAATGGATGGGTACGGCAGAATTATCCACCCAATGGTACCTTACCTTCCCACATTATCTGCTTTGATAATTTAATACCGCACATAAGCAATATTTTAAGCAGGTAAACATTTGATATGATGAACCGTCATGGATTTGATTTATTTTTATGACGTTTTCAGATATAAGCAAGTTCATCAAATTTATCATACGAGCTTACCTACTTCCTCCAGGGTGGGCAGTTATGTTACGGTACATGAGAGGATAGATTTTTAATTCGCCATTTTGGAAATCTTGTATTTATGTCTTGAAGCCATTGTTTTTTTTTAGATTGATCACTGCCATATTTTAAATAAATATATATTTCCTGAATTAATTTTCTTTTAATATCTGTGAAATAGCATGAAAAACTGGAGGAAAATCATATTCCTAGAGATAACCAATCCTTAATTCCTTTAAATAGGATAATAGCATTTTTTAAAATAAATTGCCATAATTATTTTATAGAAATATCCGAGTTTTTTTAAATATTGTACTTCAATCACTTATAAAGTTGTATTACTACTGAAGCTCAATTATTTTTCAAGTAACAGAATGTGCAGTCAATTTAACTCGACTTGCAAACTACATTTGAAAAACACCAAATACGTGAGCTCCTCTTACCTTGCCCGTAAATCTGTAGTGTTTACAGTGGTGGTCACGGTTACCGTCGAGAAGCAGTGAAACGGAGTGGGAATAGCATATTTACTATGCAGTTTGGGCTCTGTTTAGTCTACACGTAACCAAATAATAGCTATTCGTGGCTTTTTTTCTTATTAAATGTGATTTGTTTACATGTGGTGTAAAATGTTGTTACCTGCGTCAATACGCAGGTAACAACAGTTTCTAGTAACGTGTCTAACAGCACTTGCAATGCAATCCATAGAAAAATCAGTGTGGTGCAAGAAGTACCAAACTAATGAAAAATTTTATTTCAAACAAAAACAAAAGGATGTAATTTCACTATAAAAAATAATGTTGAACACATTTTGTCTATATTTCAATAGCACTTAATATAAAACTACCCAATTCTATTTAATTTTTTTTTCAATTGTACCTAAGTTTTTCCGCCCTCCAGTGACGGCTCGTGACATTGAGAATAGGTGGAGCATATTCATTGATTGAGTAAAAAGAAAAAAGAATGCGGCGCAGGCGAAAATTTTCAAATTTTCTTGGGTCATACGGCTTTAAATAATAAATCTGGGTATTTTTAGTTGCATTTGCAATATTACCGAAAAACTGACGTTCGTGAGAAGGATTTTCATTTAGATGTTATAAAAAATAGAAATATTGGTTCGGCTTGTGGACTTCTGCGAACATTAACGCACACCGTACATGTATGTTCCAAAGAAGCTTTGTGGTTATGACAGCCTCGCGTGACGTTCCCAAAATTGTTAAATCCCTGCGCCACACGCCCTACTTTACACCCACAATTAAATACGGCATACAGAAAAGTTTTTTTAAATAATCATTTCCATACAACCACTTATACTCCGAATACCATTGATTCCGAAACATGGCACAGGTCTCTCACAATTTAAAAGATCCTTTTCGTCCTCACTCTTCCATCTGGAAAAATATATACTAGATCATACATAGGACACATTTCTACAATTATTATACAAAACAAATATCAACTAAGAATATACTAATAACTAATATATAAGAATCGTATCGTATAAACTGTTTAAAGGCAAGCGATGGGCGATGACAATGCTGCTTCAATATCCGCGTCACTCGTTCCCCACGCCGTAGTTTACTCCCGTGTTGGCCGCCTCGTTGTCATGACAACCGCCGTAAACAACGCTTCGAAGAGAAGCGGAATACAAACTGATTTCAATCTGCGTATACTATACGTTGTATGGTACGAGGTTCGCGCTCAACGAAGGCAAAGTTTTTTTAGAAGGCGTTCACCGCGCAACTATTCTGTTTATTTCTGCGTATTAAACAAACAAACTCAATACATTTTCAATAAAGAATTATATCTAAATTATAAAATTTATATAAAATTAAAAATAATTTTAAATTGCACACAAAATGGAAATTTTAGGTGAAGCGGTGCGTCACTTGCGTCACCTGATGAGCCGCCACTGCCGCCCGCCTTGGTATGGAAGTCAAGAGCTGCCACTGGTAATAGACCTTAAAATTATGCATATTGTAAGCTACGACTTTCTTAAAATTGTAAATTTCTGAGCCAGCTACTATTTTTGGTGCTGCTTCCTGAAAAGTTGTATTTTTTATCTGAAATGTAATAACATATACACTCCTACAGATGTATCCTTACCAAATTTCTTTAAAAATCCGTTAATTTTTTAATATGTATTATGTACAAAGTTAAAAATGTAATAGTGAATGATCAGTTAAGGCTTTAATTTATGCTGCGATTTTGAGGTAAAAAAAATCTATAAAAAAGTGTTACAGGTCCAGAATAGTTATATTATAAAACATTTTTAAGTTCCTAACTTCATCGCCAGGGGGCACATTTGATATGGTATTACAAAAAATCATCAATATTTCCAAATATCGCATACAATGTATTGCTTATAATCTCCGTCCTATACAAATTTTGTTTCAATAATTTTTTTTTAATTTCCCATGACAATACAGGGATGGAGAACGTGTAGTAGGTATTTTTTAAAATGCTATAATTTGAGTTTATCCGAATTTAACAAAGAAACTCATTTCAAAGAACTCATTAATTAATTTGTGTTTTTAACGATAGGTGTTTTTCAAAATAATGTCATATTAGGTCCACTTTCTCATAAAAATTAATTGCAATACCTACTATAACCTTTTTTGTTCTGTTTTTTAGGACATTAATTAAGGAAAGTATGTATGGCATGTAAATTATTGTAAAAATAGTTCATGAGTACCTATTAGTGAATCCACCGCAAATACGGTATTTAATTATGAATATATAAATAGGTACAAGGGGGTCGTCAAGGGGGTCAGAGGGGGGCAGCTGCCCCTCCCCTAGAAATTCGAAAAAATTACAAACATTTTTATAAGCTAAGAAAATATTAGATTGGAAATATTTAATAAAATATTTTATTAAACTTTAATTAATACACTATTTTATTTTTTTTTTAAACAATTGTAATATGTTTATGTTAAAAAGTTAGAAAGTAATACATTTCCATATTTTAAAAATTTAGCTCTGGAATTTTAAATTAAAAAAAAAGAAGAATAAAAACCGGCTGGCTGAGAAATACTATGGTACAAAATCATCTCAATGGCAATGATGAGTATACACAGAAAGCTTATTTTTGACAACCATGAAGATTTTATTAATAATGGGTAAACAAATTTTCAAAAAATTATGTTTTACCTAATTTTCGTTGAATTTCTTTATTTTTAGTTATTTATATTTTTTTCTTTTTTTTGTATTAAAAATGTTTTATTAAAAATATTACTAAAAAAAAATTAATTCACTGTACCTATTTCCACCTATAATTTATATTTCTCCCATCCTCTCTCTTGTCTTGCCCCCCCCCCCCTTTCCCTTGAATAGGTATACTAATGCATTTTTTACTTTTTTAGTAAGAATAATATGATAAAACGCTTTGTTTTTTAAATAAAAAAAAATCAGGTCAGTTTTGCAATGTTAGTATATATTATTCATTTAGATCTTTTATCTTTGTTTATTTTGATAGTAATTAAATAAACCTATATACGTACTAAAAGCCTTAGTCGAGGGTTGTTTTTAAGGAACTATTTTTGACTAACCAAAAATCTTACTGAAAGAAGAAGAAAAAAATACCATCACTATATTATACATCACTTTGTTAAAATCAGTCTAGTTCCGTTTTTAAAACTGGGAGATATTTTCTTCAAATAGGTAGGTACCTATTTAAGGAAATATGTCTTTGGGCACAAATAATTTCATAAAAAGAATCCTTGACTGTTAATTTTTGCAAATAAACAAAAAAATAACGTGCTCGAAATGAACGAAAACTATAAAATTCATCTAATTTCTTAAGTTTTTCTAATAACTAAAAATATATCATATCTATTTGCTGTCTGTCTGGTATAGACGGGCCTCACAGGATCGGGGGGTCTTGACAAGATCTGGCAATTTTTTTTTAGAATCAAACAAAATCTTGTTTAGGTTTTGAAATTTAATATCGTTTATTTTTAATTTTTTTTTTATTTAGAAAGAGGACCTGCGGAGAGCTTGTAGCCCCGGGCCTCTCCATAGGTTAATTCGGCCCTGTATTATGGTGTCTGTCAGCTTTAATTAGTAGGTATATCAACAAAAAAATGTCAAATGAATGTTCTACAAGAATGATATGGAAAAATTCGCTTATACAAAAAGCTTTTCAACATATTATCTAAATTTTTTTAAACGAATTATGTGAAGCTGTACGGCGTTAGTTTGAGAATACGATCCGAGGCTGTGAATAGGAGAAATTTTGTTAAATTTGGATAAGGTACTCTAGTTACAGCATTTTAAAAAAATCGACGTCTATACTTGAAAAATATTGTTGAAATAAAATTTAAGGGTGGATTGAACGAAGATTATAATAAGTATATTTTCGACCTATATACATTATAGAGGTCGAGATATTTCGAGATCGAGGTCAATGCCATAGCAAATGCGCCTCCTAGCGATGAAATTAGGAACTTAAGAAATATTTTAAATCAACTTTGGCCATGGATGGAGATATATCTTTATCCGATCGCTCTGTATATTGTCATTTATTTAAATCATTTATTCAGTATTTTCTAAATTAATGTTGAAAAAACCCTATAAATTGTTTTTGTCCATGAATAGTTCTAGTTATTTTCGATTTACTGGGCTCTCTGTGCGGCAAGTTCATATTAAAATTTAAAAAACCATAACTCTGACGGACATGGAATGATCTTGTTTCTTAGAAATGTTATTGGTACTGGAAAACACTAATTGAATTTGAAGGAATATGAACGAATCGTTCAATGATCCTCGTTCATATTAAACTTTTTGCATAAAATAATTTATTCTGGACCACCTGTATATTTTTAACTTTAACAGTTTGTATCTCAAAAACGAGGGCTTCTAGGGCAAATATAAGAAAATTTTAAATAAATAGGTACATCAATTAAATAAATCAAATAAACAGTCTTTCCTAAAACTTGTATAAAACGCTGCGGTAAAATACCAGATATCTTGACCTCACCGAGAAATTCACCACATAATGATAAAATATCCTGTTGTTGGTCGACGATAAAACTTTGAAGAGCCGATTCTCTCGTCGTTGTCAAGGTGGGGCAAGCAAAAAGTTATATTTATATTTACCAGTTCTTCAGCTTTACACCAACAAACTTGACATTATTCTCTGTGTGTGAACGTTTCAAACCTGATTTAGCGGACATCTTCGTAAGGGAACAAGGTTAGTGGACAATTTTTGCATTTAATCACAAAGGAAAATTTATTAGAACCCGCTCAAGGTTCAGGTTCATAGTGAAGTTAAGTAATGCTACTAAGAAATGTAACTACATAAACGCAAACACGTTGCTGTTAGAACAAGTCTTCCAAGTAATAATTAAAGCCGGTCTAGGATGAAATTTGCTTGAAGATACGCTGATTAAAACAGAATTTCATATTTTTCAAATCATGTGGCATAGGACCATTTGATAATTGAAATAGTACGTGCAAGGTGGAATAATTGTTATCCACTTATAATTTTTCCAGTGAATCTTTTGTAACCAGTTGCGGAACTTCAAAGTTTAGGCTCCCCAGCAAGGAAAATGACGAAAAAATCATTGCAGTTGAAATTTTGAATTTTGCTGGAGCTAGCCCCAATTAAAATGGGAATTTTCTACTCAACTGTTTTTCCAATTTTTCACGAATTTCGTTGCATTTTTTCGGGGCTATGTCCTCCTATCAATGATTTTTTTGACATGTTCATTTCTTTCAAATAGCATTTCTAATAAAACTTCTTTTGTGAAAACGAAAGCCTAAAGCTATTTTAGATTCAATAAATGTTTGCTAACGACAATATAAATTAAAAAAAAGTAAAAATTTGGCAATGGTAGGTTTTTAAAATACAGTACATAAAAGAGTTCTATTTATTAGAAACACTGCTAGGAATTAAAAGTAGGTAGTAATTGAATTTCCCGACAGTGACTCTCATAGTATCTTCCCCAATCTGCGGACCAATCCAGTAGATTTATACCTACTTAGGTAAATCAAGTCCTATCTCCCATCATTGTACGCACCACCCCTTCTAAAATAAGGATTAGAAAATAATAAAATAATTACTGGTTTTTCCACTTCTTAATAAAATCATTTGCCAATTAAATCTGTATGTCTCATATCTAACCGCATAAGTGAGAGACATAGATTTACTTCATAAATAAATTAATTTGACAGCTGAAAAAAACCGGCCCTAATAATAGAAAATAATAGGAGTGCACTGAAGCATTTAAGAACAGATCTCTGGAATTCATGTATATGCAGATATAGATATTAAACTAGAATCCCTATTTTAGACAGAAAGTAATCCACTTTCGAAATTGCCGCTTATTTTTGCAACAATAGTAGTGACGTCACATACGCCAAGTAGTAAACAACCCCATAGTGCACATTGTCATGAAGTATTTCTCAATATTTTTACTAGATAGATTTTCAACCTTATGTACTTGTGCCAAAAAAAATGAGTTCTTTGTCATAACCTTAAATATCGTGATATTCTGGCAATATTAGAAATATTTAAGAGGTCTCAAACCCCAAGTGAAAAACTAATAGAATTATAGAATTTATACAGGGTGGGCCAATGGAAACTCTTCACCCCGATTTTTTTTGGTTTAAAATAAAAATCTGGGAAAACGCTCGGACACGTCGCTTTTGATTTGAGGGGGAACTATTTTTCAGTTTTTTTCATCCCCGTAGCTTTAACCCCCTAGCTGCGGAGAGAACAACCCCCCAAATTTGAATAGGGAATAGGGGTCGTGCCATACCTCTTTTTAAAGGTCTCATCGAGTTCTTTATGACCCTACAATTTCGCCTCATTATGTTGTGTTGTGTTCTTAGGCAATAACTTAATCGGCCCATTCTTTTTGCAAGGCAATTTGACTGGATAGATGTATCTTACTTTGCTTCAAGACAATATTGTTCCTAGAATAAGGGAGGTCATTGCCGAAGATAATAACTTGTCCACAACATGAAGTGTTTCTTCAACAAGATGGGGCTCCAGCCCATTATGCAGCCCCCGTTCGGCAATTCCTCAACGAATATTTTAGAGGTCATTGGATTGGCCTGCAAGGTCTCCTGATTTTTCCTGTCTAGACTTCTTTCTCTGGGGCCATTTGAAGTCAATAGTTTATAAAACACAGCCAGCTTCTCTTCAAGTTCTGCAAGAACGCATAACTGTAGAATGTCAAAGGATAACTGCCGATATGTTGTATACTCGAAGGCCAAAATTATAGATAGTGATTCATCGCTAGCTCTTGGACTAGTAAGGGGGATGAAGCGTGCCGGGAACGAAAATCCATTGGCGTGTCTGCGTAAAAGGCAACAAGATATAGAAAATATTGAAAAAACATAATAAAACATAACATCTAATATTTTTTACGGTTTGCTATAACCGGAACTTTGATCAATTTTAATTATTACAGCATTTTAAAACGTCCCAGTTGTGTTTTTTAATTTATAAATTTATTATAGCGATGGAATTAGACCCCTCGTCTACGCTTATGCTATGACGTTTCTCAGGTCGGGCAAATCAAGTCCGTTTACACCCACTAAAAAAGCATGTCCCTATTCCCTACCAAGTGCAAAAGACAGAGATAAAATATAGATCGACGTTCAGTGTAACTCAGTCTATACACGATTATAGATTCTACCGATGTGCATGGCGAGCGGCACAAATATAAATAATATTGAACCGTATAGAAATCATTTTATATTTTATACGCATTATGGTAATAGTGTTTTTATATTATGTATTAGTCACTCTTTATAATTTCGGCCGCCGAGTATAGAATGTTGGAGAAAAGTGTTAGATAATCGATTTTATTATTATTGCATGGATGTTAATGGCGGACATTTTAAACAGTTTGTTAGATAAAGTTCACGTGTAGACCTATTTAATAAATTAGTTAGTATTTTTATTTATTTTTATTTTGACAAGCTGTCATTTCGTTACGGATAAAAATAATGAGGTGAACTTGTAGAGTCATACATAACTCGATGAGACCTTTAAAAAGAGGTATGGCACGAGACCCCCATTCCCTATTCAAATTTGGGGGGTTGTTCTCTCTACAGCTAGGGGGTTAAAGCTACGGGGATGAAAAAAACTGAAAAATAGTTTCCCCTCCAATCAAAAGTCGACGTGTCCGAGCGTTTTCCCAGATTTTTATTTTAAACCGAAAAAATCGGGGTGGAAAGTTTCCATTAGCCCACCCTGTATATTTAAATTTGTAGAACAATATTGACTTTTATAGTAGGTAATTAATAAATTAAAATTATATCAATGTTACTGAGCATGCGCATTAAAGATAATTTCATATAAGCAAAGTAGCCTCGCAACAGGATATCATTCTAGAAGAAATTTGGTTGTGGTTAAGATACGATCTATAATAAACCACTTGAAGAAAAAAACACTCGATAAACACACTGACACAGTACAACACCAAGAAAAACAATAACAATATTTAGTAGAACTAGAAAATGCCAAGATTAGACAAAACAAGAGAAAATACGCTAAATGACATATCAACAAGATGTCACCTGCGTATGAGGCTATTATTTCCGAGCATGAGCATTAGGAATAACACGGGAACACGGCTAATGTTTAAATTATTACTTTATTTAAATTTAGGAATATTCTTTTATTTCGTTTTTTGTAAGTTTTAAGCACATTATTGTACCATTTTACGAAACACGTGTTGGTTGTTCTCAAATATTTCCAAATCCTTGTAAAAATAAATTAATTTGAAATTGTCCATTTTTCTAGTATCTATGTAAATAATACACAAGGGTCAGATTCGGTCTGTATTTCAACTATGACAATTTGTTGCTCTAATATTTCCAAATCTAAGACCGCGTCCATTCGTTAGAGTCACCCTGCACCCCCTTTCCTATATGGTAGTTCTGCCACTGCTCGTAATTTATTACGAAAGGTTAACTGTAATCTTTCAATTGACTCTTGGATAAGCAATAATCGGAATAATAGAATGTAGTCTTTTGCGTTTATTTTCAGTTTCAGTTATCAAATGAAAAATATTTACAACAAATGTTACAAAACTTAATGTAATCATTGTAGGTACATACCTAATATGTACAGTGTTAGCCGTAATGTTCTATAATATTGTGAAATTTATAATAAATATTGTCAAGTTAATAATTGATAAATATTCCTGTACGTCTAAAGATAATATTCCAGTTTTTTAAATCATATTGTGTTGCCATGTCAGTATTATTGGCATTTAGATATCGTACATAATTAATTAATTAATTAATTGGATATTAAAACGGAAAAATATATTTATGGTTAGTAATAACCTAAATACTTTTTTCTGGATATTCTTCACATCACGGAAATAGTGTTGCCTAAAGTAAACACGTTTAAAAATTAATAAATCAACAGAAATCTTTTTATAACACATATTGTTCGAAGGTTAAACAGAAAATCAATAATACAAACATATTCAGCTTTAGTAAACAGTTTGTTTTTGCCTTTATCAGTTTCTCAAATGAAATGATATATCTATGTTAAAATAGTCTACTGTAAATTTCCTGTTAATTGCTTTCCATCCACGATTTAGATAACAGGAAAAGTATGAATATATAAAAGTCGATAACTTTGTATTATAATAGGTAACTAAGTTTTATTAACTACCTCGTAATTACTCGGGTTTTCCCTCAATGACTGGCATGGCCTGGGTGTTTCTATTGTGTTCAATTTAATCACAATATTTACGTCTGTCGTAGGAGCACCCATATTTTCAATAACTGTAGCTGGAAATTCCTGTTTATATTCATTGTGTGCTTAAATTTAAGTAGTGACAGTGCAGACATCGCTGTAGAAGGAAACTTGACACGGGTATGTGCGACTTTTTAAAATTAACTTCTCTATATTACCTATATTATCATTATCAGGTTCATAATTTACAGTATATGTACTTCAAAAAAATAGCTGAATATCAATTTTTGTTCTGCATATTCATTATAATTAATATATTCGTCATTTAGTTGATACCTGTGGGCGGATGTAATTTACAATTTGTAAACGTAGATAATTATTTAAAATGTTTGTCTTTTTCACTTTAAAAGAACATCTCGATTTATCTTCACGTGCATATAAAACACCGTATAAAAATTAGGTACAACTGGATTGAACTTCACGTTATGAATTTACAATTAGATTAAAACTTGCCTTTAGGTCAG